ATGAATAGATGAGTCTAACAGGAAAGCAATCGGAAGGGAGGCTGGAACTGGCTTTCTGGGAAAACCTTGTCTTTGTTCATCAATTCAGAGATTTAAGACATAAACTGGGGAGTCCCTGAAGATTCTGAGCTAGAAAAGAAAATAAGTCACATATATCCTACTACTTACTGTATCACTACACATCAGTTTAGCCATTCTCCTGAGTGGCCTCAATCCCTTTTCCTTTCACTGCACTCACCCTGCAAAAGACCAAAACCTGAGATCAATGCACCCATCTGCCTTCTAGCCTCTTCAGCTCAAATCTACACTCAGATTTTCTAGACAAAACAAAAAAACTCTGTTTAATTATACACAACAGATGAGCAGGGCCCTCAACTAGGTCCAGCTAATCTTTTTAGTGTTCCTGGTCTGCTTCATTGGCTCCTCCCAAGGAACATCTGTTTCTTTTTTTTGAGACAGAGTCTCTGTTTCCCAGGCTAGAGTGCCCTGGCATCAGCCTAGCTCACAGCAACCTCAAACTCCTGGGCTCAAGCAATCCTTCTGCCTCAGCCTCCCAAGAAGCTGGGACTACAGGCATGCGCTGATTTTTTCTATATATTTTTAGTTGACCAATTAATTTATTTCTATTTTTAGTAGAGATGGGGTCTCGCTCTTGCTCAGGCTGGTTTTGAACTCCTGACTTTGAGTGATACTCCCGCCTTGCCTCCCAGAGTGATAGGATTACAGGCGTGAGCCAGCGCGCCAGGCCTCCATCTGTAATCTTGATCAATCACTTCCTGTGCCTTTGTTGGTTGTTCCTCATTTCTCATTTATTTCCAACCTGCCCTGTATACTGGCCCCCTCCCCAAATATTTCGAGTTGCTCAAAGCTCTTCCATCTTAAGGGGGAAAAAAATCCAACATAACATAAAACTTTCCCTTGACCCCATCTTGGCTGTTCCAACACTTTTCCCCTAAGTGCTGATATTTTGTGGGCTTGCATCTTTAGTCCTCTTCCCATCTCACTCTACACAGACTGACTAGGCAAACTCACCCACTCTCACAAGCTTCAACTACCATCCAAGCCAGCAAATCAGTATCTCTGGCTCTTCAGGTGCCAATGTCACATGTTAAACTAATGAATAGCATTCTCCATTTTTATGTTTCCACCTTACATTCACCATGTCCAAAATTAAACTCATCTTTCCAAGTTTGTGTCCACTTCGATTTTGGATCTCTCAAGGGCTGACATGATCTCCCTAGTTGTTCACATTAGAAGAAACCATAGATACCTCCATCTCACTTAACTTCCTTTTAAGCTTCTCTATTGACCCCTGGTCTATCCCAATTGCTACTGCCTTAGTTCAGTTCTCAGTATCTCTTGCTTACTCAATCTCTCTCTCTCTTTTTTTTTTTTTCTGGAGACAGAGTCTCACTCTTCTTGCCCCGGCTAGAGTGCCCTGGTATCAGTCTAGCTCACAGCAACCTCTAACTCCTGGGCTCAAGCAATCCTTCTGCCTCAGCCTCCCGAGTAGCTGGGACTACAGGCATGTGCCACCATGCCCGGCTAATTTTTTATATTTATATATATATATATATTTTTTAAGTTGGCCAATTAATTTCTTTCTATTTTTAGTAGAGACGGGGTCTCGTTCTTGATCAGGCTGGTTTCGAACTCCTGACCTTGAGTGATCCTCCTGCCTCAGCCTCCCAGAGTGCTAGGATTACAGGTGTGAACCACTACACCTGGCCCTTACTCAACCTCTTTCCCTGCCTCCAGTCTTGTTAGCTTAAATCTAGTCTCATATGATTTGCCCATATAATACCTTGCTTAAAACCCTTCAATGGATACATAAGAAACTTCATGTTGGATGTCTCTGAAGAGAACTGAGGGATCTAGGGTAGGAGAAATATTTGTTTTTCACTTGGGTACTATTTGAATTGTTTACCATCAGCATAGAAAACTAAAGTCTCAGTGATTCCTAATGCCTACAATACAAAGTCCTTCATGATCTCTCTGCTGTTTACCTTGCAAGCTTCCCTCTCAAGCCACTACTTTGTCCAGAATGCCCTTCTTTGATCCACCTGTCTATTGACTTATCGTTTAAGACTCTGCCCAAAAGGTAATTCCTCCTGACTTCTCCACAAAGAAGTTGACTCTCCAGAAGCAGTGATCGGGCGCTCTGTGTAGCCTTTGGTCAAATTAAAGCCATGAATACTTTCAAAAAAAAAAAAAAGAAGTTGACTCTTTTTGTCTACACTGTGCTGTACACATGTACACAGACTTCCATCATGGCGCTTACATCTCATGTTGTATATAATAGTTAAATTGTTTAAAATGTCTGTCTCCCTCCATTAGCCTTAGATTTTAGATTCCCTGAGGACAGGAATTGTTTCTTATTCACCTTTGAATTTTCAGAGCCTGGTTACTGGGTCAAAATTTCCAGGGGATAATAGTTGGGCAAAAGTGTTTTGAAAATGCTCCCCAGGTGATTCTATTCTCTGTTAACAGCTGCACTAAAATGTAAAATCCTTGAGATCAGGAATCATCAAGACCAGCACAATGTCAGTGCTTAATAAATGTTTAACTATCCTGAACTGAAATAGACAAGTCTGCAAGTTGAGGGAGGAGATATTAGGGCTGGAGATTTGGAGGCATTAGGATATAAGATGGTGCAAGAGTGCAGTGACAGACATAAAGAAGCCAGGGAGGACTTCTTTATCACACTGTCACTAACTGCAGGGGACTCATTTACACGTGTTTTTCCTGCCAGACTGTAGGTTCCTTAAGGAACAGTAACTCTGTCCCATTGATTTCTGCATACCTGATGCCGAGCACAGTGCATGGTGGATGTTAGGAGCTCAGTGACTTTTTATTGAGTTGTATCAGTGCCACTAACAGAGGGAGGTACAATATTTCAGGGACACAAAAGAAGAAGTGACTAACTTGACCTAGGACGGCTGGATAAATTGAGTTTTCAGGGGGACAGTTGAGCTCAGTTGTCATAGATAAGTTCATCAGAGAAGTAGCAAGAACTTCCAAGCAGAGAGAATAGCAGAACACAGGTATTGGGGTATGAAAGAGCACAATGTGGACACAACCTTTCCATGACGCTAGGGGTCAAGTGCATGAGATAAAAAAAATGTTAGGGAGCTTTAGAAAATGAGATTCAGAGGGTCAGGACCAGACTGTGAAAGGCCATGGACACCAACCTATAGATTAAGCCTGACTACTTTGGCCACTTTGGGTGGCCAAAGAGAAGTTTTAAATTTACTATCAAATGACCGGCTTGACTTTTTATAAAGGTACTAGTGGCAACACGAAAGGCAGACGCAAGAACTGAGACACTCAAGGGAAGGCGCTTGTTTAGCGGCTGCTGGTGTAGCTGACCAGCCGAAACAGAAGGGAACGAAGGGAGAAAACCATTCTATAAAAACCCAAGATGTAAGTCAAGCGGCCTGTGAATTCCTACCGCTGCTCACCACCAAGCCACACACCTGAACCGGGTGGGGAACGCCGAAGTGGAACTCCCCCGGGAGCCTTCTGTTCTACTTTTGGGAGTTCCAAGCCCCTTCCCATCTGAGACCCACCCCACGTGAGGCCCAAGGTGTGCAGAGTGGCGCAGGGTGGGGCCCCGCCCTTGCCTCTAACCAGGTGGCGGGAAAGGGGACTCGGCGCCTCCCAGGAGTGCCCTTCCGGTTTTTCAGGGGACACGCGTCCACTTGGAACCCCCTCGCCGCACACTCACTCACCCGCTCCCCACGGGTCCTCAGGAGCCCCGCGGAGCCAGCAGCCCTCAGGCGCTGGGCCGCAGCCTTTCCCGCCACCAGGCTCGGCGGGACCGGTCCCCGCCTGCGCGGGGAGGGGGCGGGGCGGGCCGGCTGGTCCACGTGACCCCGTGCGGGGGTCCGGGTGGTGTTGGTGATGAAGTAAGGGGAAGGGAAGCGAGTGCAAGCACTGTTTTATCCAAGTAGATCCTCTACCTTGACCTAAACATCACAGCGCTGTGGTTTTGTGCGGAATCGTAACAGAACAATGTCCAATTAGAGGTGAATTTACAAACATTCTTCCCCTTTCTTCTAGCCAAGTGGACTATTCCAAGTCTCAAATAGTTAGAAAAGTTAGGTTTTATTTGGCAGGAAGGGGAGAGCCGAATGTGGGGGAGTGGTCTTTGAGGGGAAGGTGGTGTCTGTTGTACTATAGCAGAAGTGAAAGCTTGCGAAGTATGCGAGAGAGGCTCGTAAAAGGAAGAGATCAACAATAAATATTCATTGATCAGTTGAGCGTCTCCTCCAGCCTCTGTGACATGACTGTATTTTGCCAACAACAAAAGAAGGTAGGTTAGCCCAGCACGGCCCCTGTAGTCCCAGCTACTCGGGAGGCTGAGGCAGGAGGATCGAGGATCGCTTGAGCCCTGGAGTTCGAGGCTGCAGTGCGCTACGATTGAGCCTGTGAATTGCCACTGCACTCCAGCCTGGGCAACATAGCGAGACCCCGTCTCTAGGAAAAAAAAAAAAAAAAGACGATAGGGCTCAAACGAGTGCTCTAATAATTATCTCCTGAATTGTTAAGCATTTGAATAGAAGGAATCAATGTCCGCGGTATGAAGGAGAGTTAGAAGAGATTTGCTTCTAGTTGAAAGGACAAATGAGAGAGAAGTGAAAAGACATCCAAGAAGAAAAGACTAGAACTAGTGATAGAAGCAGAAAGATGCCATGTGAAGAGTTTTGATTTGCTCTAAATTAAAACTCTGAGGATCAAAGTCTCTCCCTCCATATCCCACGCTCCCATCTACATTTGCTCCAGGCATCAAATTTCCTGTTTTGGCCTTAGGAAGCAATTCTGGGGCCTAAATACCATCTGCCAGAAGGCTACAGCAGGGAGGTGTCAGGCAAACCAGTTAAACTGCTTAATTTGTCTAGATTCTAGGCTCACTGCCTACCCTTATTTAGGTTAGGAGGTCCCGGCCCAGGGCCACTGAAGAGATCCATTATGCCAGAATGAACACACAACCCAGCTGGTGGATGTAGACAGGTTTATGTGGCTTTACAGAACAACTCAAATCCCAGTGTTCACTTTTCTCAGAGCTACTTCCCCACCCAGGTCCCTGGGGTAAGCATCCCTGAGATAAGTAGGCTAAATGTTCCCATTAACTTCCCTAAAACTTTGTGGTACACTTGAATCCTGAGCTGGGCTAATACCTCCATTGCGTCCCTTCTCCCAACCCTTGGAATTCCTTATCTCCTCCGCTTCTCTGCCTCTTGTGAGGAGTAACTCCCTGCTTCCCTGTTCCCTCAGAAATCAAGAGCCATACACTTGACGGGCAGCAGAGAGTAAAGGCCAGAAACCTAAGGTCTTGGTTCCCAGGTGCTCACCACACAGGGTTGAGGAAGGGAGGTATAGGATGACATCTCTGTTCCTTTCCATAGCTCTCAGAAGCAGCCACACTCACATTCATATGCACAATCGAGCACACACGGCGAAAGGAGGTGGGATGGGGAGGAAGGGAAGTTTGCACCAACCAGCTCATGAATGCAACTTGAAAGATTTCACACAGCAAAAGGGGAAAAAAAAAACACACACATAAGTTAAAAAATAAAGAAATACATGCCCCTCCCCACAGTCTCTTTCTTCATCCAGAGGCTGGATCAGCCCCTCCACATAAACCCAGAAGCTTTCTATTCCCTCTCTCCAGCTGGAGCTTTTACAGTGCCTGGGTCTTCAGTTCAACAGGTTCCCCTGTGACCTCTGGTTGTCCATTGGGGTCACTGGGTCTGACACCCTTGAGGATAGACAGTCTCTCAGAAACACTCTTGAGCCGGGGGAAGAGGAGAAAGTCGTAGAGAAGGCTGCCCAGACCCCCTCCGATGATTGGGCCCACCCAGTACACCTGTAAAAAGAGAAAAGGAATACTCAGTCTTGGGGAGGGGAGAGAGTAGCAAGGCTTCTCTTTCTAACCCCCTCAGTGGAAGACAAGACATCCTGCACTTGACACATGCGGTTGGGCATCATCTAAGTAGAAATCATGTGTGTTTGTTAGTTCCTTAAACTCTAGACTCTAATCTACTGCCTGTACCTGAAAACTCACCTTTTCTCCCCCGACACACACCACTTAGAGGGCAGTGGCATGATCATAGCTCAATGTAACCTCAAACTCCTGGGCTCAAACCATCCTCCTACCTCCTGAATAGCTAAATTAGACTACAGGCGTGTACCAACACATCCAGCTAATCTTTTAAATTTTCTGTAGAGATGGGGGTCCTGCTATGTTGCCCAGGCTGGTCTTGAATTCCTGGCTTCAAGTGATCCTATCACTTCAGCCTCCCAAACTCTTTGGGACTACAGGTGGAAGCCACCACACCCAGCCTCTTTTCTGATTCATTAAATTA